ACTTTTTTATTATTATTGTATGGTCCTCACAATATAAAACACCTTAAGGTGACTGCTGTTGTGATTTGGTACTATATAAATAAAACTGAATTGAATTGAATTTACACACTGACGCCTCGAGTTATTGTTGGTTTCACCTTAATCTGAGACTTTATTTGCTTCTGTACACATGTCAGAAGGTTTTTGAGCAAGACGCTGAATTCCAAGCACCAAAAACATTACAGATTGTGCGAAATGAATGTTCAGGATAGATAGGAGGGATAAAGAGATGCTTACCCGTGAATTTATCTGTAATAATAACCTTGTCCTAAAATAGATAAAACAGAAACAAGACACAAATTTATTTGGCTGATGACTTCTGCTCAGGCTCAGCAGTGAGATCGAGCTACAAAATTATGGTGCGATGGCACGTGCTCCTGTTGGAACCACAAATCTTTAAACTTTGTTGTTTAACAAAAAAACATTTTTATGTGGGCCTGGGTACTGGGACCTGGTTCAGCAGAAGAGGGGCCTGTGAACTGAAGACTATGCCTCCCATTCAACTTTTAAATATCCTGGGAACTACAAGTAAACCTCTCAGTCTGAGAGCAAAGTTGGATGATATGGTGCTATGAGGTCCTCAAGACAAGATGGGGTCTGATTATTCAAGACCTTGTCTGTCAAGAGAAGGAATTTCAGTTCAATCTTTTCATTGACTCAACAGGGAATCAATGAAGAGAAGCTAATGTGGGAGAAATATGCTTTCTCTTTTTGTCCCAGTTAACTAAAGATGCTGTCATTCAAATCAGTTTCATCTTATGGTTCTTCTTTTATAATATTTCCACTTGGATATGCCATAAGTCAAAAAACATGTAATGGGATGTAAACCTGAAACTAACTCTGTAGATGTTAAGAGGTAAAGTGATATCTTGAATGCAGAACATTTATGTAAATTGAGTTGATATGCATAGCTACAGAGCAGGATTGCCACTGGATCTGAACAGTTTTCCACCACTGTGGGATTCTATTTAGAGGCTGAAAGTTGTTAGCATCCTCCCCGGTAATCCTCCCTACTGTGCTTACATCTTCAGCAATGTGATCTCTATCTAGAGCCAAATGACAGCCCACTTTGGATGCATTTTTTTTCCACCGGTCTGTGCTTACAGCGCACAGACCGGTGGAAACTCTCAGGGCTCTGCAATCAAGCGCACGTCTCTTGCTGTTAGATTTGTAATCAACTTCATTTTCCGACTCAGCTTTTCCTCTAAGCTGCACAAATCACTGTCCTGTACGCTGAATGGAATGAGCTGAATTGTCTAATTACATCTATATCTCATCTAGCTCCCTCCACAGTCAAAGCCACATTAAACTTCCTATTTGTGTCCTCATGATTCCCATCAGCTCAGAACAAGGCCACTGTTTTGATCTTCTGAAGTTCACTGCTGATGTAACTACCGCTTCCTCTCCTTTGTCTCGAGCAAATCATCGGCACACGTTTGATCTCAAGTCTTCTGGCATCTTTGCAAATTCATTGGGATAAATATTGTATAGGAGGCTGGGAGGCTGCAGCTGCGACCTCGGCTGATTCTCTGCCCTTTTCCAAAAGACCAGGTGGAATTACCCTCGAGTCCAGGTGTTACGACCTGTATGACTAAATACCTCGAGTGTTGCTGTCACTCACTCACTCCTATTGCTCACATGCAAATGGCTTTACAACCATCTCCCTGTCCTTCAGCCAGCCACGGTTGTCATGACAACAGAGCGGCTAAAATCCAGCGGACAGAGAGAGAGAAAGAAAGTGCATGAGCTCGCACAGAAACCTGCTTCTGGGGACCCGGAAAAGGCGTGCGAGTGTGATGAAGAGATGCAGTGCACGCTTGCTTACGTGTGTGTGTGAGAGAGAGAGAGAGAGAGAGAGAGAGAGATTTTGTGGGCTTTTTAAAAAAAATAATAATGGAATATGGTTGGAAAAAAACACACATGTTCTCCATCCCACTGAGAATTCCTAAGTCAACTCTTCCCTTCTCCCTTTAAAAAAAAATTCTCTCCTCCCATTTTCCCTTCTCCTGACCTTCATCATCTACATCTACTTCCCCATCATAACTTCTTTCCATTTAAATCTCCTAAATGTGCTCATTTTTAATGTCATTTCGTTGTTTTGTTCCACTCCGTTTCACCATATATTTTCTGGCCTTTCCCCCCTCTTCTACCTCTGACACAACCTCTTCATCCCGTCAACAACAATTCCTTAATCTTCCACACTCATCCTCTCTCTCTTGCATTCATCTCGCCAGCCTTTTCATCCTGTCAAACTGCTTCAGCTAAACCGTCTTTTCTATCTTTGTCTCTCTCTCTCTCTCT